TATTATCTTCTCGAGCATTGAGCTCTTAATAAGATAAAATATCGAGAATACACTATGTTAATCTGTGTGAGCAAACCAGCTAAGAGAATTGAACACAGCATAACAGAAGCAAGCTCACATAAGCGTTATGGGTGGTTCCATGTTAACTGCAAAGTGGCATGATGAAATGCCAATGGGACTGACTTCTTCCAAGATGGTGCCATCTGTTTTGAACAATGGGTGATTGCACAACATACGTTCGATTTTAACCGTTTCTAAATACGATTCCTGGGTAGTTTTTCGAAAATAAGTTGGGTTAGTCAGTTGTCACACCGCAGTTCAAAGGTGTATCATCTTATTACTGTTTTCGTATAGACATAATGACACCAAAACCAGCGTTTCCATTAGCAAGCCGTTAGTATGCTCTCAATCCACGAACGATATCCATGCTTTGTCCTATTTTTGCGTTCATTGGAAGGCACCGCAGATAAAATTCATATTTGAGCTATTAGCTTAAGGGGAATGAAAGTAGATTTGCATCGGTTTGTGGTAACCGCGCTCACAAAAGCGTTTTTGTCGGTAACGGTAGTACCTAAGAACAACAGAATTGAAGAGACGGTGTCGTCGTCCCATTCAGTACTTCCTATGATTTTACGATCGCTTGACTGATCATTGAAAACGTCCATATATATTCAATTGTGTACCGAAACGCATGAATTAGATTGCATGTGAAATACGATAGTGTCCCTCGAAAACGGAACAATTCAGCAAAAGAATACAGTTAAAATCCCTCAGCTTCAAATTAATAAGTGTCTGATATCTTTCCTATTGATAGTAGCTGCCACATGATAGCTGATTCGATGGCTGTTCCTCTGCGTGGCCATGTTATTTTTGGAAGTTAATCGTTTACGTCACATTTCTTCTTCTAAGCGTGTGTATGTGATCTGACGACGTATATCGTGTTATCTTATGCACAGGTGCTCTATTGCAGTCCAAAATAGAAACATACATGTGCAAATGCTTTGAGAGTGCGTCACTTTTCGAATAGACCCGAACTACGCTCGATGGTTGGTTCATCTCCTAATAGGTGAAAAATGCCATTTGGTAAGCGAAGGGTTGAGATACTACGTGTGCGCAACGAGGAACACCAATGTCCTCGGAATTCAATTAGCAAACATCTGTTCTCATCTCAAACCCAAGAACTCGCGTTGCGAAACAAATGATCCCGTTTCATTAGGAGTGGGTATTTCATGGTCTCTAAAAGATATGTGAGATGTAGATTCAAACTGTCATTTGCACTTGAAGGTTAGATCGATTAGCCAATTACACCAGATAATTGAGCGAAAACAAATTCGATCTCCCATCAAACTTTGGCAGGGTTTGGTGCGTTCATATGTGTGTGCATGAACACCTGCATCGCGAAGTCACCACAGTAGGTCACGTGTGTGTGGGATGTTAGATAATAGATAAATGATAAACGGTAAATGAATATGCAACGGGAGAAAAATGAGCGCGTCAACCAATATAATCGGATGATAAAGGTCACAACTGACCTCCTGTGGTTATAACCGTACTCAGTTAGGGGATTTGTGTGTGTTTCGGAGTATCCATACCAAGCACTCACCTGCATACCTGAGAAACCGATAAACAGAACGAGAGAAGTGTCAAGGAAACAACAACAGTAATTGGGTGAACAGTGAGTCGAAATAACTTTCAGGGTTAAGTTAAAAGTTCCCGGTATCACACAACAAAATTAGAGGATGAAAACATCGGTAATGCTTATCGTTTCACAGCCATCCCTTATCCTTCACTGATTTTGTGATAAAAAATCTCTGCCTCCAGAATTGGAGCGGGTATTTAAACACCCAGTTGCGCGATCTGAATCACAGTTTACTGTGCGCACACCTCTACCGATTCCTTCTGGGACCAGTTGCAAATAAGCACCAAAAGTGGTTATGAGCATCAGATCAAGTAAGAAGCTGACAATGTTTCGTACCCTCTTGAAAATTTAAACGGGTTGGAGTTTTAAAAATCAAACAGGATACATCCGGGTCGGTCCCACAAATACAATGCATCCTTACGCTCGATGTAAAAGTCTGTGGGAAAGTTCAAATTATTTTACAAATTCGATAGTTCAGATCTACCGAAAAACTTCACTGGTGCATTTCGAAAAGTAATGCTTTAGGTATCTGGACTTAAATGGAACACCAATATCTTTGAACATTTATATGACCGTTAACCATATAAATGGAAGCGGATTTGGAAAAGGAAGTGGTATGCTTTATATCACGCCCTGCTATGTTTCATCCGAACAAGGTAATTTTGGCTTTGATTTAGTAAGAGCCGTGAGGAATTCTTAGCATCCATTAAAGGGATCCGACTTGGTTAGTAGTTTTCTGCGTAACCTAATACGATGAAGAATTCTAGCAGTTGTTCTGCTTACGCACATATTGGATTTGTTTCATTAGGTCTCGTTTCACTTGAAGGAAAGTAATGACACATTTTTTTAGAGCGACCGGAGTGTCAGATGAAGAGGTTACCCTGAGAGTTTTCCAAGACGGTAATGTCGGTTAAGGAAATAATAAAATTCCGCTCAAATGGCGAATCAATAAACTCCGGCAAAACAGTGTTTAATGGGGTGCACAGACGTGAAGTGACATCGCGCGTAATCCCAGCTCCACGTCATCATTGCAAATGGCAACACGCTACGAAACAATAGTCGAAAAGCAGAAGTGAGAAAGTGGGTTTGTCGCAGAAATTACTGTCGTTTTAACACGTAAGTGAATGCATTTCCATATCCTTCATATGTGGTTACTTTAGTTACTTGCAGGAATCAATATACAATCTATAACTTATTCCGGATGGTTGTCGGTGCTACCGTCCTCGATATATCATTTATTCCATGTCACTAGCTGCAACCCGAGGAACAGCTTCTATTGGGCCAAATGCCCTTTGCATGCTAATGGCTCACTAGTGATTCTGACGGGCATCACTGTTCCACTACTCCACTCCGCAATGCCATGTGTGGAGTTGGTTAGATTTAATGTAGTTTGACTAGCATTCACTAATAACAAATCGCGTGATAAAAGACGTCTTACAAGACTGAACTCCATAGAGTTGGTCAACTCTAACTAGTTGTTGATTATTTCAAGGCATATGCAACGGTCCACCTGCAAGGAGATGGGAGATGTTTGCTTGAATATGGCACTTGTCGCTAACCAAACTGGGAGGTCCCAAATATTTACTATCTTGATGAATAAATTATTTCACTCTCGATTTAAACCAGCTGCGATATATTAGCTATCAAGAAGACAATATTTATAATACGTACAACAGCGCAGCAAGAAAACACGGACGCTGCGAGATGTTATGATTACCTTTATCCTCCTCAGTTGTTAGTTTAAAAAAGGGAATACATATGGAACACGAGGTTGCTCATTTATGGTGAGTGAACACTTACAGGTGCACGAAGGTTACTAGTGGTTTGAAAGACAAACTAAGGTTAACTCTGTGTCAGGTAGTCATGACATGTTTTGCAGCAGTTGATCCCGGATTTCTTGTGATCACTTGACCATCAGCTATCGGTTGCGTTGTCGATTTAGCCAAACACATTGGAATGTGTTTGGCAATCCAGTGCGCTAGTTCACGATCCGTCTTACCTATGTATGTGTCACCACAACTACAAGTGAATTGGTATGCACTGAATAGGGGACAGAAGCAATTTGTCAGCCAAGCTCAGGTTTGACCAAATTAATCCCGAGAGTGAAGGCAATTTATCTGACATAAGTAGCTGGGAATGTACGGTATAGAGCTGACTTCAACGTATGGCGCACCTCATCGTAAGGGTTATCACTTTGCTTTAGGCAAATGGCCTTTCGAAACGTTCTCCGTTGGGTTTCCTTTTCCGAATGTTCTTCGGTAAACCCGTATAAATCTTTCCGGGTAAACATTACTTAGCAGTGCTAGCCCCAGGAACTCTTCCTCTTTCATTAGCATAAATGGAGAACAGATATTTCTCGATCGATGAAATAGCTTGAATGTAACCTTGTTAATCTGACATCGTGGAATACAACAGCTTCACTGTCAAAAAGGGTGCTAACTATCAATATTAAAATAAACCACATTTGAAGAATCATATTGGTGTTGACATCGGACAACCAACTATGAAATAACGTAAAAGTCATCCGTAAGTTTTCTGAACAATTATAAATTCAGGGAAGGTGTTTCCGTGGGTTAACTGCGGTGTCTTTGCTCACAAGGCGTCCACGGAATCGAAAAGCACTGTCAATCCCTTCCAACAAACAGGTATAGTAATGGTTAGGATGAGATGCCTCTATCTTCATTCGTGGTATTAAATGCCACGCCTATCTGACCAAGAGCGAGAAGAACGTTTGGAAGCCATGAAGTCACGATGATGGTTCTTTTTGCAAGCTGGATTGCCTTTTCACAAACATCGCACTCCCCATGGAGAACTATCCTTAACTTTCCCTCATAACAGTAAACAGAATTAAGCTCGCCTCATTCACTGTCTCGAACTCTTCGTTTTCCTAGTTAGCATCTTCCAAGAAATACTCCAGCGTTCACAAATAGTCCAGTAATCGTTTGGTAACTTATAACGTTCTACACAGTTTTCTTGAAATATGAAATGAGTGGGCTACAGAGTGGTGATTCGCACGAAGCTGATTCACCATTCCCCACACATTATATTTCTCTGTGATTGATAGACGCTCACATATATTGACGTCAACTGGTACTGTTTCTAATTGCTGTTATCGGTTTCCCTTTTTCATTCAGTTTATCCATTCAGTGAGCGTTATTATAATTGCGTCACACTACGTGGAAGGTGATTGGTTGAATGCGACGTTGCAGGTTGTTCCGTTATTGACCCACGCGAACAGCGATCAACGACCAAGTGGGAAAGTATCAGGAAATGTGACACTTTGAGAAGAGCGATATTCCATAGTCAGGATCAACCTTATGCATTATGCTTGTTATTCTAGCTCCCAGTTTACAAGCAGTTAAGAAACTGTCATTCGGCTGAACCCAAAATCCTAGTTCCCAGTGATCCCGAACGCAACTGAATCAACCCACGCCGCACGGTGGTATTCATCCGCATTCAAGGAACTAAACTAGCCTTAGACCATTTAGAACCCTTATTATTGATCGAAATATAAATATACTCATCTCATATGCGGAAATAAATCTATTCCCATCCACCGAAACACCAGAATACATTCAAGATAGTTGCGTCTTTTCTGCAGTTATTGCCATTTATTACGTTCTTTGAATAAACAAAACTAATTTCTAGATGTCAGTGATTCATTTATTTTGGTAAACATAGCGTACGTGGTCAAATTTATACATTGTCTTATGGGTTGGACAAAATTGGATCTGTTCAAAAATAAGAATAACCAATAGTAATTATTGACAGGATGATAAAACTGTGATTGCCAAGCAATTGTTCATTGGATGTAAGGCATAATTGCTGCAGTCTATTCGAATGTGCTTACCAAATTTGACGGAACAATCCAGCTAACAGACACCCGACGAACAGAAGACTGGAGAGCATTGATTTGTTAGCAAAATCTAAATTTGCGGTTGAGAGATATGGATGAAGGGGCCAGTATTAATAACGTTTTGCGATAACAAAACGTTGCTATTCATCAATCTTGCTTACAATAATGATATCGAATTTTCAGTACAATGATTGAACTCTGTAAAACACAACAATGCTGGAAAAAAGTGCCGTTGAAAGTTCTATCTCTAGAATTCGTAATCATTTTGAATGGCAGACCGTGTTTAGTATAATCACAGACAGTATACCGAAGGTAAAATCCAAAATAGTTTTAGGATACGTCCAATTGAGCCCATTCGTGCTTCGGTTCCGATTTACTGTCCACAGATTTAGGATACGTACCGTATTGGTAATATACGTTAAAGTTTGGGAGTTCAGCGTTTCCGCTAGTTTGTTTCCCAAAGGTGACTTTCACACCTTTTCCTTGGGAAACAAATTCGTTTTTATTCCAGTGCTGTCGTCATTGGCAACCGTAACGCATTGAGAGTCAGTATTAGGCTGTAATGAAGAGGAAGGAGAGTTGTGTTGTGGATTGAGAATTTTCTGGCTTAACCGTTATCCACACATAAATATTAAGTGTTATGCTAAGTGCCTGTGGGTTCATTCTGTATTGCCAATGAGGAAATCTTGTCGGAGCTAAAGCTGAACATTTCACTGCTAGGTACAAGGCTTGCACTTGTACTGCATAATTCTTAAGAGCATGTCTGGATCACTTATCCTGTACGTCCATGCTAACTCACTAACAGTGGTAATAAGATTTTATGTTAAATGATGCTTAACTGCAACTCGGTTTGAATGTTATACAGTTGGTATAAACTGCTACAACACTGGAGAAACGGCAAACATTTCCATTTATATACTGACACAGAATGCCGATCTAGATACAGACAATAAATTCTGTTTTGGAACTTAGTTTTTCGTACAATCATTTCACATTCAGTTTGAGAGAAAACAAGATCACGAACTCTCAGTTCCGATGTTAGATGCGATTTTCGAAAACAGTGAAGTTACCAAACACTCACCGTAATAACCTTCAAGCTGACACGTATGTTTTTACTTTCCGTCGACTCAATATTCCACATGCAACGCAAGTCAGCCGGAATGGTCGTACCAGATTTGGCTATTGGAAACGATTGAACCTCCGACTTCGGGGGCTGCGGAGCGTCCGCGCATCTGGGGTCGTTCACTTCAGCGGTAGAAACTATTACCAAATGTCAGGAGATGTTGCATGTTAAATCTGACTTCCCAAGAAAAAATGCATCTGGTTATTACCTGACAAAACAGTCTAGTCTTGAATGGTGTATCTATGAATTTCAGTTTGTAGTTTCTTAATCTGTTCCCGATGAATGCTAAAACCATTATTTTAATTCATTGATAATGACAGTAATTTACTTTGAGCTCAACAGATGCATAATAACAAATGATTTTCAGCTCATTCGAAATTCTTTATTGGCATTCAGTTGCGCGGGTACCTTCAATTATTTACCACCTGTGCTCCACGTTTAATGCAGTGAAACAGGACTTACTGTGTAACGAATAAATTTGAACAACGAAGTAGGAACGACCAGTAAGAAGATTCTCGGTAACTCTAGAACAATCATTCGATAGTAGCTTCATTCAACTAAAAATGATTTTGTGTTAATTCCTTACCACAGAAAACACTTGGAATGCAGCAAGACAATATCGTCACATAGTGATATTTTATATTTGTGCAAGCAGTTCTTCACTCGAATACGCTTTTGATGAGATCATAACTATGTTGCATTTTCTTCACGTGAACATGATAGCCTTATTATATCACTAACTCACCCAGTTGATATGTTACTTTGAAGTTTGTGTTTGAAGGCTTTCCATCCACAATTGGACTTTCGTACTCTATGTTCACACCCTTACCGACCGCTGATGTGAAAATATTCTTCCCAGTTGTGCCGCAAATTGTTTGAGGCTCCGGGTCTCCTTCGGTTACTGCGTTTGATACCGTGATGCATTGTTTATCAGCTATGGGCTGTCACAAACAGAGAGAAATTTGTGCATGAATCGGTAGCTTGAGGTTAACTATTTCAGTAACCAACTGGATTCGATGTGAACGATTGATACAATAAAAAGTACTATACAAACGGAACACTGTAGACAGAATGTCGATGGAGAAAATGGAGTTATGGTGAACCAGGATACTTTCGTTGTGCTTCACAGGTGTTCCTGATACATCTTATTCGAAAGTATTTTGGTGGTACGGCAAATCGGTGGTTTTTCAAATTGGTTAGCAAATATCATTGATAGAATTCACATTTACTTTTATGTACTTGTTCAATTCTAATATGTTGACATTTCCTGGTTTCAAAACTCACGGTTCCATTCGCATATCAGATTAGCTTACCGAATTCACGTCCAAACTGACTCGAATGCTCTTCCCTTGTATAGCCGTGAGTGTCCAGCGGCAGGCAACTGCATTTTCAGCCACAAAATTGGAATCTTTCAATATCTGAAAATATTGCTGAGTCTCGGTCGGGGCAGACGCAACCTCCGAGCACTGAGCATCATCGACTGTGGCGAGACGGCATGCATTATTTGCTGTATAACAACTCACCTAATTTATAAATTAACTGGATTTTTTGCAACGCCTTTGCTGAACCAGGAGGGTCTTCTGTAGGCTTATCTCGAGTAATGGTCACGTATCCTTTTGAGGTCGCTACATTGGCCTCAGATGCCATGCACCATGAAAGAGGTTGTTTCAGAGTCTCCCCAGCGACAGTGATGCAGTCCTTATTATCGCTGCCCTGGATAAATCAAGTGGCATAGAGTAGATATATTGTACGGAACTCACCTGTTTAGCATTTTGATCTGTGGGTGACGACCAGGTTACTTGAATTGTTCTTTTTGTGGATGTAGTGATATACCAAGTACATTTCTCAGTAATGTCGGTGGGTACGTTGAAGGTCTTTTCGGTTTCCGTCGCCTCAAGGTTTGTTTTGCCACATGTATCAACGACTGCGCCTAATTTTCATTTAATTATTAAACAACATTTATACCGTTAGCGAAATATGCACTGACAATGACCAGAATGACAATCAAATTTCTCATTATTTTGTATTCCGTTCGATATACTGATTGCCTGTCTTGGATCTTTATATTCTGAGGTACCGTGGGCGTTAATTACATTCACAACATTTGATTTGCTATTTGTTTACCTCCTAATTTTAGTTGTTTTAGGGCAGGCCGCGTTCTAGTTGGCGTTAATCGTGTACTACTCAAATAATGCAAGGTAAAACAGTGAATGTGATGGTGAGAAAACATTTGGCAATTGATGGAGAGAAAAAAACGTTTCGTGCACAATACTGACAGAGATCACGTGAAACTCAAGAACATTATAAACAGCGCTTAGTATGAGGAGTATCAAATTTTAGATGGCAGTTCACCCAAAATATCTAAAATAGATTTTCGTACGGATGGTTTCGGGAACTTTCCAGGTTTATAGATTAGCTGTGATAAGGTGCTACATTATGAAATTTGCCGCGTGTTACATCGTCGAACTCGTAACTATATAATCACTCTTCATCTGATTTACACTTTCTTTGTTGTCATCGAAACCTTGTGCAGTTATGGTCATCCTAAGTTCTGTGAAATACTCTGTCGTTTTCATGAAGCATCTTCGAATTTCCGGTCACTGGATTACACCTAATTTTGGCAAATCGCTTGTTAACAGAGAGAGAACAATTTAGGGAAATCTTAAAACAATTCCTAGAAAACATCGAGCTGGTTGGCAGCTCGTACTACACAAACGATCAGTTTCAGACATCTGCATTTCAGCAGTCATCAGTGGGAATTTGCGCTCCCCGCTAATATGTCAAAAGTAGCACATCTGACTAGTAGACGTGTAATTCCAAAGATCGGAGTCGTAATGCTTCAGGTAGCTGGATCCATAATGAAATTGATGATAACGGGGTTAAAATCGACAATTGTTCCATCTGCCGAGTTGACCGACCCGTTCCGGTGCACAAACGAGGCTGTGGTATTATCACATACATAAATGACAATTGCTGCAAACGAGTCTTAATGTACTCTTCCATTTTAATCAGCACCTCACTGTACAAATGCAAACCTAAATACCTCAGTACTACCGAAATATTATTTTTCGTAACATTTACATTTCTCCTTGTTCCACTGCTCATTTTAACGAGTTAACAAATGTTCTCTCTGCCGTTTTGCTAAATTACGCAGAACCCTCCCTTTGCATCCTGTGTGGTGAGTTCAATATGTTTGATGTCACGTTTTTGACAACCCTTGGATTACAAAACTTTATAATTTCCCGACCGGACTCGAGGCTTGTCTTGATTTGTGTTTCACTAACGACCTGAATTTACTTAACTTGTGCATCCGTTCCCCTACTGGCACCTCTGATTACTGAAACTAGCTCCCACAATCTACATTAGATCCAATAATCAGTCAAACACTCGGCATCGTGATCGTCGTGTCTGTTGGCGCTAATGTCAACCGGAAGATCTCACCAACTCAAGAGATGTATTAGATCAGATGGATTTCTCCTTATTTGTACATTATGGCCCCTCTATATTATTTGATACCCTGACTGAATAGTTGAAGTTCTCTTATGGTACGAGCTGCTCGTGAGAAACTCTATACGTACGACCAGACCGTGTTTCGTCCCCTACACCCAAATGATTACATCAGAAGAAAGAACAAGCTTTCAAAGCAAAACGTAGTTTTTGGTGATGGACCATTCGAAAGCAATCAAGGCTGAACTGCGAGGAATAAACACCGCTTATGTAAATTCACCGCTGGCAAACACGAATTGTCTGGTTACATTGAAAATGGTGTTTCACTTTTGCGGTCTCAAATCGAAGGAGGACCTCCCAGCTACCAATGTGGACGATTATAATCGCCAATTCCGCAATGGTGAAACCGATATCCCTATCCCATACACAGCAGTCGTCCCTGCTCCTAATGTTGTCATTTCAATAACTGATCAAAGAGTAGTATTCAAAACTTTCATCAAACGGAAGTCTAATAAAGCATACGCTCCTGATGGACTGCCAATTGTTGTGCTCCAATAATGTGCAGTTTCCATTTTCCCTTTTTTCGGCGACCTACTCAACCAGTATTTTACTCAACATTGCATTCCGGACTGCTGGAGAGTG